ACGGATAGACAGGACTTCTTTATATGTGGTTGAGTTTCCTTCTGTGCAAAAGTAGCAGTTCCATGGCCTGAACCCAGAATTCCCCCCCATCCCCTTGTCATGCTGTTGATCACAAACCCATCCAGGTTCAAGTGTTGGGGAGTTGACGGGAGTTGTGAGAGAAATGGTGGCCATCACTGCAATTTACTACAAATGGTAACCCCAGCTTCAGGACAGTGTAATTGTGAAAGTTAATGGAAAAAATCCTGCCTCTCCACCAGGCCTCCACTGACACCACCCAGTAGGAGAAGAGTGTTTCATTGCTGCCAGCCAGAGGTAGAGGTCCAGGCTCCCCATGTGGGCTCTTTTCACTCTATGGGGCCAGGGGTGGGGGAGGCCTCATCACTGGACCCCAGATCCCTCCTTGGCTTTCTCTGATAGTCCCAGAATGTGAGTTGAGGTGCCTTGTAATAGCCATGAAAGGTTGGAAATCTAGGCCCCCTACTTGGCTTATGCTGGCGTGGAGTGGGTGGGGTATCTTTTTTTTTTTCCTGTGATGTTTGAAACAGCACTTGTCCTAAAGTTTTCTGTCTTGCTTGGCTGCTCATCTCCTGGTCTTTTGATGGTCTTTTGACTAGAGAGCACAGGCTTTTCTTAGAGCTTTTTGATCTATACTCGTTGATACTCCCAGGTTGCCCATTTCTTCAGCTTCAAGTTTGAGGTATGTGAGGTAAAGAGAAGACCCAGGAACCCACCGCCATGTCGTTCCTCAGGCCCCCAGCTCGCTAGCCTGTCTGCCTTCTTCTCTCTACCTTTCAGAGTTGTCTTGTGTTTGCTTTATATATAATGTCCAAGGTTTCCAATTGTACACAGCAGGAAGCATAGGAAAAAGTAAGTCTACTCCATCTTGCTGAAAGCAGAAGTTCTGTCATTTGCTTTTTAAATTGAAAGGAATAACAGAATTTATTGTATATAAACAGCATTAGACGGTTTAAGAGATCAGATTCCTTATATTCGTAAGCGCAATTTATTAGACATAAGAATTTCTTAGTTCCTTGGTAAGATTTTATTAAAGGAAACTAGATTCATGAATCTGTTACTTTTATAGCAAATATAATTTTTTTAAGAAACCAAAGTCATGGGGCGCCTGGGTGGCTCAGCCGTTAAGCGTCTGCCTTCGGCTCAGGTCGTGATCCCAGGGTCCTGGGATCGAGCCCCACATCGGGCTCCCTGCTTGGCAGGGAGTCTGCTTCTCCCTCTCCCACTCCCCCTGCTCGTGTTCCTGCTCTCGCTAACTCTCTCTCTGTCAAATAAATAAATAAAATCTTAAAAAAAAAAATAGAAAGTCATGCAGATAGCCTTTTTTTGCCTGCAAAAGCCATCCCTCTAAGAAGAGAAAGAAGAAATGAACATTCATGCTTAGTAGGAGTTGGACTAATTATAAACATGTTCCCAAACCATGTGCAGTGAAGCATTGACTCAGGCTCTGTGAGGCAAGTAACAGAAACCAGGTCTTAAGCAAAAAAGACTGGGACTGCTCCCAGAATGGAAGAAAGAGCTAGAAAAGCAGGCTTCTGGAAGTCACGGGCACCAGGATGGCTCCTGGCCTTGCCCAGTCCTGGCCTTGGGCAGCAATGAGCCCAGACTTCTTTCAGCCTTCATGCTTCTCTGTTCAAGATTTGGACCCCAGAGGGGCACCTGGGTGGCTCAGTCAGTGAAGTGTCCGACTCCTGACTTCAGCTCAGGTCATGATCTCCGTCTGGGTTGTGAGATCGAGCCCCATATCGGGCTTCATGCTGAGTGCTGACTGTGGAGCCTGCTTAAGATTCTCTCTCTTCGGGCGCCTGGGTGGCTCAGTTGGTTGGGCAACTGCCTTCGGCTCAGGTCATGATCCTGGAGTCCTGGGATCGAGTCCCACATCGGGCTCCCTGCTCAGCAGGGAGTCTGCTTCTCCCTCTGACTCTCTTCCCTCTCGTGCTCTCTATCTCTCATTCTCTCTCTCTCAAATAAATAAATAAAATCTTTAAAAAAAAGATTCTCTCTCTTCCTCTCCCTCTGCCCCTCCCCCCCCCGAGAGAGATGCTCTCTCTCTCTTAAAAAAAAAATAAGGGAGAGATAAATATATATAAATATCTCTCAGAGAGAGTTTCTGACCTGCCTGGCTTGGGTCAAGCTTGGTTCATAGGCCCACCGTGGTCCAGGGGAGGATGGAGCACTTGGAATGACAGTCCTAACAAGACCATACAAGGGGGAGTTGGGGGCATGGGGGAGTGCTCCACAGCAAAATCAGGGTGCTATTACCAAAAGAAAAGGAACATGGTTAAGATGGCAGGTATGAGCATCACAGATGCCTGCAGACTTAAGAGTTCTAGAGCCTCAAAGGTTTGGGACACCTGGGGTGGACAAGGAGACCTGCCTGTGAGAGCTTCTAAACTGCAGTGCACTGTGGGCCTCCAAGCAGTGGACCTAGGGTCCAGGGTTTCCCAAACTTATTTAACCATGATGTGCTTTTTGCGTCAGAACTCCATTGACATCTCTAAGAACCCAGTTAGGGAAACCCTGGCCTGGTTGATCTCCAGTGACCCTTTCAGCTCTGAGATCCTGTAATCCTACAGGACAGACATGGTTTCTGCTTAATTCTGTCTGAGAAGAGACAACAAAAACACATAAAACAGGGGCGCCTGGGTGGCTCAGTTGTTAAGCGTCTGCCTTCGGCTCAGGTCATGATCTCAGGGTCCGGGGATTGAGCCCCACATCGGGCTCCCTGCTCAGCGGGAAGCCTGCTTCTCCCTCTCCCACTCCCCCTGCTTGTGTTCCCTCTCTTGCTGTCTTTCTCTGTCGAATAAATAAATAAAATCTTAAAAAAACAACAACAACACATAAAACAGAGATGGATAAGGACCAAGGAGGTGCAGCTCAGGCTATGAGAGCCGTCTTGGGAAGAAGTGGAAGACCTCTCCCTTGGGTCCATGAGATGCCCCCACTGACCTTCTATTAATGAGTTGTATAAAGTGAAATGAACATAAGTCAGTTTCCTGCCTGGCCTGGTCCTTCACTTGCTTTCTGTTGACAGTCTGGCCCTGACCAGGGGCTTAGGTGAGGGCTGGAAGGTCCCTTGGAGGTTATCTGGGCCAGCATCTACGTTTTCCAGACAGGGACATACAAGCCTGATGAAGGGAAGGGACTCATCTAAGGTCATGCTGTGATGAGGCAGCAAGAATGGACCTAGAACCCAGGTCTCCTGGCTCCCAGCTCAGCGTCTTTCCTTTATTCTGCAATGCTGCCTCTTGCTGAGGACAAAGTCAAGGACAGCCATGGTGGTTTCCATCAGTAGACACCCCCTCCCTCCTTCCACCTTAACCCACAGCGGACTGCCTTCTTAACTGTCTAGACCCTCAGCATTCCAGGGAAGAGGGGAGTAGAGGGTCAGAGGGTTGACTTCCTGCCCTACGCTTGCTAATTACCTGTCTTCCAGATGAATTGCAAGACTGTTTGTCTTGTTCACTCTTGATTTGCTAGCGCCTGGCCCAGGCCTTGAAGAACTGGCAGATTTCACAGGGAGGGCAGCCCGGTGGGAGGAATCTCTTGAGCAAAGGGGGAGTTGGAAAAGGCCCATCCTGGGCAGGGAGGATTCATATTTGGCTAAGATAGAACATTCTTTGGTGTTTAGTGGTGAAATAACACTGGAGGGTATGTGGGGGACATAGTATAGTATGGTTTAAATGCTGAGGCAAGTCCCTTTAACCCAGCAGTCCTCCTTCTAAGAATTTATCCCAAGGGAGTAATCCTCATAAATGCACAAAAATGCATGTACTCGGATATTCAATCACAGTGGTGTTTAAAAAAAAAAAGAAACAGACTAAGTGTCCAACAATGGAGAAGCAATGATATAAAATATGGCACATCCAAATGACGAGTTATTTGGTATTTATTTAAAATGATGAATTAGGGGCACCTAGGTGGCTTAGTCAGTTAAGGGTCTGACTTCAGCTCAGGTCATGATCTCAGGATCCTGGGATCGAGCCCCGTGTCAGGCTCCCTGCTCGGGGAGTCTGCTTCTCCCTCCTCCCCTACCCTTCCCCCCCAACTCATGCTCTCTCACTCTCTTGCTTTCAAATAAATAAATCAAATCTTTTTTTAAAATGATGAATTAAATATACCTGAAAGGAGAATGTGTTTATAATATCTTATGTAAAAGAACAGATTATAAAACAGATAATCTTATTTTTATAAAATTAACTAACATTGTCATTCATATCTGAATTTATGGACAGAAAAAAATTTTATAAGAACAATAAAAGTTTACAAGAACAAAATGTTTGCAATAGTCAGCTCTGGGTTTAGAATTACGGGTGGCTTTTCTATTTTGTTGTGATTGTGATTCTTCCTATCATTTCTTTATATTTCCTAATTATTGTACAATGAATATATGTTTGGTAATTGTCTTCTAAAGTTAAAAGAAGATGCCATGCTAAAGAATCTGAACCTTATTCTTAAGGTTCAGAAGTTAAATGTTTGTAAATGAAATCATTAAAAATGCCCTAAGCAGATTAGTCAGTTTAAAGAGTCTCATTGAGACCCCTCTGGGAACACGAAGACTCCATTGATAAAATGGCAAATAGTATCCCCGCCTGTGTTTCTCTTTTAAATTCTGATTTCTGAATGTTGCTTTCCTGCACAAGACTGCAGTGAGTCAGTACCTTAAGGAAAGAGCAGAGCAGATTTAGGCCTTATCAGGTCATTGTGACCGGTGGACAGAGGACATTGCTTTCTGGAAGTGTCCAGCTCAGGGCAGTGTGTTGTAAACCAACAAGGCAGCCGCATTAACCTTGAGTAGTAAAATGTAAAAGTCCAATAAAAGGCCTGGGATGTAGCTTTGTGGGTGGTGGATGTTTTTCTGGTTTTGTTTTGCGACAGTGAACAGTGGGGTTTCCTATGCCGCCCCCCCAACCCCCTGCACCGCCCCGGGGCCCTTTAGCTTAGACCCAGCTCACATCTGCTTCTGTGAACTTTCCTTACAGGAAAACTTGATCGGCGCCCTTTTGGCAATTTTTGGGCACCTTGTGGTCAGCATTGCACTTAACCTACAGGTAAGTCTCAGTCACTAGCACTGTCTGGGGGCAGAGATACAGCTAGTCAGCCGGGATGTCCGGTACAGGCCCCGCTGCCTCCTCACCATGGGATGTTGCCTTCTCCGTTCCTGGGCTGGGCCTTGGGCAATCCCTTGCAGGTTGTTCCAGAATCTCTCTTGATTCTTTGCCCCCACGTGATTCCCCCCCTCCCTTGACTCTGATCAGACAGCGCTGTCCCTGACTTAGAAGTTGCTGGGGTGCCCTGGAGCAGCTGAGCTGGCCTGTAGCTGTGGTTTGGAGCAGGCTGATAGATCGAGGAGCTCCTGAGGGCACTGCAGGAACTGGTTCCCAGGCTATGCAGATGTAACTGGGAAGCTGCATGTGGTGCTTATTGCCTCCAGGGCAGCTTTTGGCCAGTGGGGGACCGGAGTCTGTAGATAAATGCCCCAGGCTTCCATCCTCTCGTCGCATGGCTCTGAGCCTAGTTTGCAGGGTGTCCCAGAGGGTCCCCAGTGGGATGAGCCCCCGTTGCCCAGGGCACTCACTCTGCACCCTCCAGTGGTCTGCTCCCGTCTCTGACTCACTTTCCCACACCCTTACTGTGCCTCCTGGAATCACCTCCCAAATCAACTACCTCCTCCCAAGTCGGGTCTCAGGGACTGCTCTGGGACACCGGGACTGAGACTTGACACCTGCGGACGAGTTAAATCCTACAGCACACTGTCCCACTTCTCTCTGCTGGCACTGCCCAGCTTCTGGTTACGGAGAAGCGCTCTCCCTCCCTGGATCACAGACGTGAACACACACGGGTAACCTGGTACATCTCGGCTCCACGCACGCCCATGTGCCGGAGTGTTCCCATGTGTTTCTGAGGCCACATGGTCTCCTGGCCACTCATCTGGTTCATGCTCTTCTTTCCACAGAGCGGTGTCTCTGCCTCCGCATCTGCCCCTGTGCAGCCCTCAGCACAGCCCCCCCTAAGTGGGAGCTGTGGTCCCTCTAAGTCAACATGACTGCCTTGCTCGCCTTGGTCACCGCCCCACTTTCTATATCCCAACTGCACACTTCCAGAACAAAGACTTTTGGCCATACTTGGGCCAAGTATCCACCTGAGAGAGGGCAGCGTCCACAGATGCCCCTGGGCTGCCCAGCAGAGCTGCCGGCTCATCTACAGAAGGGAGTGCGGCCAAGCAGCCGCCCCGAGCATGGGGACTCTGGGCACTGCAGTTAGAGTGAGACGTTCAACCTGAAGCCGGGCAACCATGGGGCGGCGTCCTAGACCCCGGCTCCCACTCCGGACTGCACGCTGCCTGTGCTGTGCATTAGAAATGCACATTCCCAGGCCTGCCCGGGGAGTGTCTGAGGCTTCCCAGCCAGTTTGAGAACTGCTTAGCGTGACAACCTGGTATTGAGATGGGGATTGCTTGCCTCTTCTCTGAGCCAGGACTCCAAAAAAACCTGACACATCTTCCCAAATAAATGTGGGGGGTAGATTTAGGTTACAGACATCCTAGCTTCTTTTTCCCAAACCTCTGGGCCAATCACCTTCTTTCTCGGATTTCTAGAAGTACTGCCACATCCGCCTGGCAGGATCCAAGGACCCTCGGGCCTATTTCAAGACCAAAACATGGTGGCTGGGCCTGTTCCTGATGCTGCTGGGTGAGCTGGGCGTGTTTGCCTCCTACGCCTTCGCTCCGCTGTCACTGATTGTGCCCCTGGGCGCAGTCTCCGTGATAGGTAAGACCGGGGCCCCCGCCACCGCTCCCTGGGACCCACCTGCCTGTGCGACCACCATACTCGCTAAACGAAGCAGCTTCTGCTTGGTAATGTCACTAACACTTACAGAGGCCTTCATACACAGCGGCCCTGCGCTAAGCACTTTACGGATATGAATTCTTCTAATTCTCCTTTTTGAGGGCAACACTGTCATGATCCCCACTTTACAGATGAGGAAATAGGGGTCCAGGGTGGCAGGGCTGGAGTACAGGATGGTCTGGCTCCCTAATCCATTTTAGATTCAGAAACTTTATCAGAATTGCTGTTTCTCCCATAGAAGGAAGATACAAACTTGCAGCTTTCATCCCAACACTGTCAAGACATCCTAAGCTTTTGTAGGATTCAGATATCTTACACCTCTAACAGATGCACATTCAATTTATTCTCTGATCTTTTTACATCAGCTGACACCACCTCTGAGGCATTGGTCACTTTCTCACCTGCCATTTCTCTGTGATCTCTGTAATCCCGGAACCAGTGTCTTAGAACATTTGAACCAAAGAAAAGACAAAGGAGCTTTGATGTCCGTGTTCCACAAAAAAAAGTAGAATTAGGAAAAAAAATTCTTTTCTTCTTAAATAAAAGATGTTCGTAGATTAGTGAACACAGAAGCGGGGACCGTGAACTTGCGCTGAAATGTTTCCTTCCATTTGCTGGCAGGCCCCACGTGGCCTGGAAGCCCTTCCCTGCTCTTAAAGGAAAAAGTGGTATTTTGAGTAGTCTTTTTTCCTCCTGGAGTAAAGAGGGCCTCTTCTACCCCACGGATAAACACGGCAACCACACGCCCCGCCTGTGCCCACAGGAGACGTCATCAATCGGTCAGAGCATCCCTTCTTAGAATTCTCAGAGCTTCAGGCAGTCCTCCTAATTACCAGGAGTTGGCAAAGAAGTGGAAACCTATTGCTTTTCCTGATCCCGTGAAGGGTCCCTCTCTTTCTTGACCAGGGTTTGTACCCTCGCAGCCCACAAGATGAGTAAGGTCCTCCAACATACTGTGTTCTTTTCCACAAATACTGTTTTAAAATATAATCTCACCATAGAGTTGAGGGCCCAAGGGGAAGGGATGATTGGGCGATGGGCATGAAGGAGGGCCCGAGATATAATGAGCACTGGGTGTTATATGCAGCTGATGAGTCACTAAATCGTACCCCCTGAAACTAACAATACAATATATGTTAGGTAAGTTTAATTTAAATAAAGAATTTTTTTAAATAAATAAAATAAAATATAATCTGAGTGCCTTTAGTTGAGGCAAGTAACCATCCCCAGTCCCAGCCTTTCCTTGTCTTCTCTGGCCCACTTTCTACGTGTGCCACCCTGACAGGGATTGAGGTTCGTCCTCTGCCCATGACTGACCTCTGAAAAGGCTTCGGAACCTTTCCTTACAATGAGAAACAGGTGACCGAGTGACGAAGTGCTTTAAATATTTGCCTCCAAATTTGAATACTTTAGTAATTCACATAATCAAATTCTTAAAAATAAGAGACTGAAGTTTCAGAATGATGGGTTCTCAGGTATCAGCCACTAGAAATTAAGGGGCTCTCAGAGCTTTGAAGTCACCCAGTAAAAAATAATATTAAAAATAAGTATTAGATTAATCACCACTATTTGTTGGGTACCTATTACATATCAGTTGCTATTCCAGGGACTTCAATAGTAATAATAGCTCAGTTATTGAGTATTTACTGTGGACACGTGATTTACATGCATCATCTCATTTAATTGCCCTTATAACTCAGAGAAGGAGGTGCTTTCGGTTGTGGGCTGATGAACCAACATTCAGAGAGAGGGAGAAAGTGAGAGAAGAAAAAGAAGAGAATGAGGCAGTGGGGGGAAGGGAGGGAGGGAGAGGGGAAGGAAGGAATGGACAGAAAAGCGGGAAAGGAGAAAAGGTAGACCCCATTTGTGGTGTTTCTGATTTATATGGTGTAAAGTCCGCCACCGTGGCCACTCACACTACACTGGTTTCCTGAATATTTAACAAGCAGCAAGTTGGCCTGAGCTGGATGCAGACTGAGACCCATAGGTAGTGACTCACCCCAGGACACACAGCCGTGAGGGAAAGCTGAGAATAGCCATCCAGGTCTGTTCATAGTAATGCCAGCCCCATCCCTCCGGGCAGCGACAAAGAAGTTTGAGAAGGAAAGAAGAACCAGGGGGAGAGTGTCAGAGGTAGTCATAGCAACGGAAGGAGTAAGAGCCGGGCTCCGGCACCCCTTACCAGCTGCGTAGTCCTGAGCAACTCCTTCACCTGTCCTAGCCTCAGTGGCCCATTTTTCAGATGGCACCCACCTCGATGGGTAGATGTGCCAGAAAGAACTTGTGCGAATCCCCTGTCACCCTGCAAGTACTCAACACCAGTGCTCCTGGACTTGTAGGAAATCCTCAGGAAGGCTCAGAGAGGAGCCTCCCTTTCTGAGATGGAATAACAGAGGAACCAGAAGGACTGAGTTCTGGGGAGCAGAAGGGAGAGGTTAGGAAGTCCCAAGCCCTAAGGCAAATGAGTCTACCCTAGGGCCTGGGCAAAGGGACTCCATCGGACTGATAGCAGCCTCAATTTTCTTTTCCCTGTGCTTTTATTTTTTTATAGCTAGTGCCATCATAGGAATCATATTCATCAAAGAAAAATGGAAACCTAAAGACTTTCTGAGTAAGTTCACTGATTTGAGCTCCTGTTCTTAATTCTGTGCTTGTGCTGTTTGTTCATTATAAAGCCAGCTCACCCCAGTTGAGAGATCATCCATCTCCTGCTCCCTTCCGTGTTGTATATTCCACCCTCATCAGCTCCTGAGAGCTGGGTTTTTCCTCGGTAGTTCCCAAATCTGGCTACACAACAGAATCATCTGTGAGATTTCTTAAAAGGGGCTTGATTTCATTCCATTCAATCAATATTTATTGAGCATCTGTTGTTGGGATTTTAGGAGGCCTGATGAAAGGCCCCCTCTGTACCTAAATGAGTTCTAAAGCAAATGGGAAACATGGAAGTCAGGAGTTATTCTTTATTACTTATGCATGCAGCCAGAGGAACTTGCTCACGCAGCCCAGTTTGGGAACCACTGTCCTGAATCATTGTTATAGGATAAGAGCAAGATGGAGCCAGGAGGCTGAAAAAAGAAAGAATCCTACACTGAAAAAAGCAGAGCTACTGCTCAGCAAATATACGATGCCAAGACCAAAAGACTCAGAGTGATTTGCAGTAGTCCTGATGGCAGAGGGGGCGATGCAGGGGTAGCGGGGCTGGTTCTGAGACCAGTGTAGTTTTATGGCCCTTCCAGGCTCACTCTAGAAAGTCCTGGTATAAGAGACATGCTAGTCCAGGCAGTGCCCTATGTGAATTTAAAGAAGATGGCCCCTCTGGGCATCTGTGGTTCCATGGGCACATGCCTTGGTGAGCAGAGCATGGGCTAGATTTTAGCCCTCACCCCTTCAGCTAGGTGTTTTTATGCAGTGAGCAACTTATACAACTGTACATGGCTGTCCTGCCTAAAGTTTTATTAAATTCAATAAACATTCACCCAATGCTAGACCTGTGCTGTACACCACAGGCATGGAGATGAGTAAGACCTTTCCCTGCCTGAAGAAAACTTAAGACAACAGTCTTGTATATCTTAGCACAGAACTTACTGTTGAGTTTAACCATGGTTCATTCATTCATTGAAAAATTGAGGGGAACCTTATAAGGCCCAGAATGAAAATTAAAGACATTTAATGTGGTATCACATTTTTGGGAGATAAAGGAATGAAATATGTAGATAGTTCTATCCAGAAATATCCAGAGACCTGCGGTCACCATGTGTAGCTCAGAACTCACAGCCCTTCCCAGCTTGCCTGGGGCGAGAGGCTTCTCACGACATCTACATAGTTCAGCTGGAGTGTGACAGGACCCAGGGCAAGAGTCAGGAGACTCCCAGGCCCCGCTAACAGTCTCTGACAAGTCTGTGGAATAGAATATTGATAGTATTTGGACTGGTCCCTTGTGACTAGGTTAACTAGCAGATGGGAAATGATAAGGTCATTTTTAAAAGGTACATGGTAGGCTCTGAAGGTTTCCTTGTGAGATTTTGTTATATTTGTTTGTTTTTTTTTTATGTTGCCCATAAAGTGATTCTCACTTTCAAACCTTCCCTGTAAAATGCACACTGAAACTATGGTTCAGTAGCAGAATGGCTACTGTGAAGAAGAAAAAAGAGGCAGTCTTACTCTAATACTGTCCCAGTGGGAGTAGAAACTGGTGCAACCAGTTTGGAAAACCATTTGACAGTAACTACGAAGCTGAAGGTCCACATATCCCCTGACCTGGGAATTCCCACTCCTAGTTTAATACCCAAAAGAAGTACGGACAACGTGTTTTCCAAATGACATGCTCATAGCAACAGTATTTGTTATAACCCTGAAGAGTATTTAAAGACCCATCAGCAGGCAGAATGGATAAATTGTGTCACACACCACAGGGGTGTGAGAATGAAGGAACCACCCCTACACTCCACACCAGGATACGGGTGAATCTCACAAACTCACAGACATCGTCTTACGTAAACACAGACACAAGAAATCATATAGTACGAGTCCACTTACAGAAAGTACAAAAGCAGGCCGACGCTCAGTGCTGGTAGAGGTCAGCGTTACCCCGGGGCTGCACCTAGTGATTGGAAGGGGACACAAGTTAGGATGTTGGGTCCTGCTAACGTTCCCTTTCTTGATCTAGGTGCTGGTTACATGGGTGTGTTCACTTTGTGAGAATTCATTGAGCACTTTTTGGTCTACGTGCCATACCTCACTGAAATTTTTTAACATTAAATGTCATTTTTTAATTCTATTTTTTTAGAAGAGTTTATCTATTTATTTGACAGAGAGAGTACAAGTAGGGGCAGCAGCAGAGGGAGAGGGAGAAGCAGGCTCCTCGCTGTGCAAAGAGCCTGATGTGGGACTCGGTCCCAGGACCCTGGCATCATGACCTGAGCAGAAGGCAGATGCTTAACTGACTGAGCCCCCCAGGAGCCCCCCTAAGTGTTACTTTTTTAAATAACAATAAGGGAGATGATCTATTTGTGAAGTGAAGAAAAACCAAAAATAGCAGGTCATCGTGTGTTGCCCTAAAAACACATAGGGTCCTGAAGCCAGCACCTGAAGTGAGCCTATGACAGCCTCCCCACTTCCCTGCAGGGCGCTACGTCTTGTCCTTCGTTGGCTGTGGTCTGGCCATCGTGGGCACCTACTTGCTGGTGACATTCGCACCTAACAGTCATGAGAAGATGACGGGCGAGAACATCACCAGGCACCTCGTGAGCTGGCCTTTCCTCTTGTACATGGTAAGAGAAGCACTGGTCCTACCCGCTATGGCAGGAGGGAGTATCAGGTCCTAGAACCTGGGAACCTGAATCTCCAGCAACAGGGGATTCGAGTGAATCGTGACGTATTTCCCAGCACCGAAGACCGTGCTTATGGAAAATAGGTAGTTCACGAGGAAATGCTTTTTCCACTTATGTTCCGAGTAATGCCTAAATCTGCATAGATAATATGATAATTTTAGTTTTTAGAGATATTGTAGGTGTGTATATATAATGGAGCACTAAAGGACTGGAAGGAAAAAACAGAGATTCCGTCCATTGTTGTCTCTGGGAGCTGGAATTATGATTGAGTTTTCATTTCACCTTTGTCTTTATGCATCATCCAAAATTTCTACAGTGAGCATTTAAGACTTTTATGGTAAAAAAAAAAACAGTTAAAATTTTAAACAGTCATAGACATGTTATTTATTTATTTTTCCCAGCATCACACAGCTGGCAGAAGCCAATAGAAACACGGGAGACACTGAAACAGTCTCCTAAACTCCCAGCCCCCGTTACGTCCCATGTTAGGTCTACAGATAAACTGATCGAGGAAGCATGCAAGGCATTTGATACCACAAGCAACTACTATATATTTCTATTCCAAGACGGGCACTGTGCCAAATGCTTTCTTACATATCATCTCAAATCCTCCCAACTGCCCTATAAGATAAATATTTTCTCCCCATTTTATGGATGAGAAAACTGAAGCTCAGGGAGGTGGGCTGACGGCCCAGAGTCCCATGAGTGGAGCTGGACCCGCAGCCAGCTTCCTTTGCCATGGCCTGCTGACAAAGGCCGGCACTGTCTTTCCTCTGATACGAGCAGCCTGGCACTGCTCTACAGACCTGGAACATTCTTTTTCCTTAGTTTGCTCACAAGGCCGAGGATGGATTTCCCCAGGATTGGGACTGGGTCATCTCCCTACCTCTAGCCAGCCCCACTGCGCACCTGGTGGGCGTGGAGAAACGGCTGCAGGACAGAGCCAAAGAACCCCCCTCTTCAGGAAAAGCTTAACTCCAGAACACAGAATTTTCTCTCAGGGAGCCCTGGGCTTGAATCTGTCACGTGCTGTGTGGCCTCGGCCAAGTCACCTACCTGGAAGCTCTGCCTCCTTCTCTGTAAGCTGGTGGGAGTCACTGGACCGGGGCTGGTGGCTGGGGCTGGGAGATGCAAGGTGGTATGGGAATCACCCAGCACTTGGCAGGTGCCCAGTGACCCACTCAATTTGTCTTCCTGACTCATGTCTGCGAGGCAGTGCGGCTGTAACCAAACTCAAGGTGGGTGGCTGCTTGGGGTGCAAATGGAACACAACCAGAGGAAGTGTTAGAAAGCAAAGAACTTTCACTCCTTGTCACAAGTAAGGAGACAGGGAGATTGCTCTCAAAGCACTGTCTCCCCTTGGGGTGAGTGCGGAAGCTTTTATGTGGTGTGCTAGGGGGGTATGGACAGAGAGCTGGGTACATAAGAAACATACATTTTCTGCTACTTAGGCCCTTTGGTTCAACTGTGCATGCTTAGCATGTCAACATGCTAGGGCAGACATTGTAAGTTCAAAAAAAATGGCAGACAACCCCTCCCATAGGAGGAGATCTTAGTATTAGGATGAGCTAAAGGTAACTTTAGGGCAACAGAGGGGGCTTCTGAGCAGGCACTGATCTTTGGTATGGCTCCTGCAGGGGGTACCCAGTGGAATCCCTGGCCACACCTCTCCTTGGTGGGAGCTGTTTGTTCTGCAGAACAGACACATTCTTCCCCTGCGTTTGTCTCCCCGCACCCCCCCATGGCTTTCAGTCCTCTGAATTGAGTAACTCCCTTTTGTGCCCTAACACTGCCAGCTAGAGAGATCTGGCCAAATCAAATCCAGTCAATATTTATTGTCTGCCAGGTGCCAAACACTGTGGACATCGGGCTGACGGTAGGTACACTGGCGAGCCATAGCAGTAACAGAGAGGGTTGGTGGAGTTGTCCGGGAACGGTGTCCTACACCAGAAACTAATGTGACATTGTGTCAACTATACTTCAAGAAAGACAGAAAGAAAAACAGGAAGGAAGAGGAAGGAAGAGGGAAGGAAGGAGGGAGACATGCCCCCAGAACTCAAGGTCACCCACACAGCCATCTTGCAGCAGAAGGCCAAGCGCTATTCCAGCATGCATTTCGGCATAGTGAAGAATGACTGGAAAACCGGACCCCCTGAGTGCACGCCCGATGATTAGGAATGTTGATGAGTAACTCACCCGCTTGATGATGTATTCTGCAGCGATTAAAGATAATTATGACAACTTCATAAAATATGGGAATTGTTTTTGGTGACTAAAAACAGCCCAGCACAAAATTGTGCGTTGACTACGATGACAAGTAGATAAAATATGTATTCACGGCAACAAAGACAGGAAGAAACAGGAAAATGAAAACAGCTGGGTTTTTTTAATGGTCTCTAATTATGAGGAATTTAAAATTTTTTCAAAATGCCCATTAATGTTTCTGCATTGGTTGTTATGATAAATGCACTTTGGGAGGAGGTCAGGGTAGGCAAATGGAGCCAAGCCACTGTCAAAGTTCGCTGCTTTCATTTTACCGGGTGCTGGAGCTGGCCTGACTTCTTGGGAAAATGTTGCCGGATGTCTGGGCCCTTAAGGAGTGGAACGGACCGTTGTTAAGGCAAGGAGGGAACTCCCACCTCACACTGACTGAGCGCCTTCTATGCCCCAGGCCCTAGGCCTCCCAGGTTCATGCAGTGTAGCCTAGTGGGAAGGTGCGCAGGCCCTGGAGCCAGACTGTCCAGGTTCAGATCCTGGCTCTGCCCTTGTATTAGCTTCCGATTGTGGTAGTACCTACTTCATAGACTCATTGTGCTGACTGAATGACTTTAATATAGATACAAGGTTGAGAACGGCGCCGGGTGTATTTATGAGTTCAATAAGTATTAGCAGTGATCATGGCGTTAAAGGAAGAATCATCCCCATTTCACAGAGGAGGTAAGCGAGGTTTAAAGAAGCTAAGTGACTTGCCCAAGGTCACACAACTGTTTTAGAAGTGGATCCAGTTTCAAACTTGGGCCTCCCTGACTCCAGATGTCTTTGTCTTTCTCCCCGACCAAGCACACACTTTAGAGGCATGGTTAGGGGATGGGGGCTTGTATACTTGTCCACTTCTCCCAGAGAGCTCTTCTCAGTGAGCAAGTATCTCCCTCTTTGACCGACCTTCAGGGGTCACCCACATGGGGTTCCCCGCAGAGCAGCGAGGTGGGAAGAAACCTTCTCAGCCTGATCCTGGCCATCCAAGACAGGGTGCGTGTGTGGCCAGCACATCGCCCTCAAAGCTCCGAGGTGAACTCCTTGTCGGTGTTCCCCAGGGGGTAGAGATTCCCGCAGAGTTCATTCAGAATCCCCTCCTTTTCCATGGAAGTCTGTCAGTGGTTTGGGAAATCTGGCTGTTCAGGTCCCTTTCAATCCTGAGGGTCCATGACTTCAGCAGCATCAACGCCAGCCAAGCCCACCAGCGTCTCCCAGTCTTGCCCACGTCTGCCCCGCTGACCGCCCCACTTGCTGCTTTCCACAGCTTGTGGAGATCATCCTGTTCTGCCTGCTGCTGTACTTCTACAAGGAGAAGAACGCCAACAACATCATCGTGATTCTTCTCCTGGTGGCATTACTCGGTAGGTGGGGGTCTGGGGGGTTGAGTGTGGCCACCATCTGGTAGTGCCACGAGGTCCCCGTGGACGGGAGGTGGCTTCCATCAGTCCTGTCAGGCTGCTGACTGCGTCCGGTGTCCTGGCTCAAATACCCGGAGTCCCCTACGTGCCAGGAACAGTGTGGAAACCATCCACAGGGGTGAACAAGACAGACGGCCCCCTGCCTTCGGGGGGTGGGCGGGGCCTCCGTTCCGAAGGCAGGAACAGCCAGTAAGCAAGCAGACGGATGTAGAGAAGAGAGACACAGCGGGGCAGTGAGGATCATGGTGACAAAGGGGAGAGCCGAGCGAGGGTGAGGCAGGGCGAGAAGATAGAGGCGGGCAGGCTCCAACAACTGAGTGCTTAGGGTTTCAGGTAAACCTGTCGGGCTAGGAACGAGTTCTGGATTCAGAAGCAGGAACCGAGTTTGCTCTCTCATTTTTTTTTTTTTTTTCTCTCTCCTCTCGGAGGGATGGGTGCCATGTGGGAGACGGCTCCTACCTCAGACGGAGGCGAGGCCTGACCCCTCACAGAGCCTAACATGCTTGATAGAGCTGTGAGGACCCGAGCTTCCAGGGGAAGAGGTGGGGGGGTGCCCTCCTGCCGCCTCCTGGGGACTCTGTGGCCTCGGGCTGGTGACCCCCTCCTGTTTAAGCCACACTGTCTTCTCAGCCTGGGCCCAGGAGAACGCCCAAATCCCAGGGGGCAGAGCAGGGTTAAATGAGACGGGCACGAGTGCCCGAGCTGCGTTGCTGGTCTTCTGTCCTTCCCGCACTGAGCCCCCACTCCACCCCACCCCTCAGCCCTACAGACAGGGGCCACCACAGGACAAGGTTCCATTATTTTGATATTTTTAAAACAGCTTTATTGAGGGCGCCTGGGTGGCTCAGTCGTTAAGCGTCTGCCCTTGGCTCAGGCCATGATCCCGGGGTCCTGGGATCGAGCCCTGCGTCGGGCTCCCTGCTCGGCGGGAAGCCTGCTTCTCCCTCTCCCACTCCCCCTGCTTGTGTTCCCTCTCTCGCTGTGTGTCTCTCTGTCAAATAATATAAAATCTTTAGAAAAATAAATAAATAAAATAAAACAGCTTTATTGAGATATAATTTACATACCGTAAAATTCACCTGTTTAAAGTATACAGTATAAACAGAACCCTCTAATAGGTGGCTTTTGTGACCCACGTCTTTCAGGGAGCATCACTCATTAGAGGTTTGTCCCTGGGGTAGCGAATATCAGTGGTCCATTCCTTGGTGATCTTGTTTTCAAAGCAGTTTGGGACGTCACGGTCCCCAAATGTCCTCTCTGGAGAGTAGGGAGGCCAGAAGGTTCTAAGGAGCGTTGGCCGCTCTCCCTCTGTCCCCTTCTGACTAACAGGGACACACCCTCATGAAAGTGCCTGTCCTAACTGACAGCAGATGTTTGGAAACTGTCATCGAGGTCGTGGGGGGCCCAGAAGCCGCTGTGTGTGATGGGCTGTTAGCAAGAGGGAAAACGGGGGCGCCTGGGTGGCTCAGTTGGTTAAGCGACTGCCTTCGGCTCGGGTCATGATCCTGGAGTCCCTGGATCGAGTCCCGCATCGGGCTCCCCGCTCAGCGGGGAGTCTGCTTCTCCCTCTGACCCTCCCCCCTCTCATGTGCTCTCTCTCTCTCATTCTCTCTGTCTCAAATAAATAAATAAAATCTTTAAAAAAAAAAAAAAGAGGGAAAATGAGGAGAAGCGGAGAAAAACAGGAAAGCTGAGCCCTTCAGCCAGAATAAGGGGCTTCGTTTGTACCCGGACTTGGGGGTGGTTTCTTTTAACTCCTGCTTTGGCCGGGGAGATAGGGGGGAGGTCCGACAGTTGGCAGCCATTTCTGCACCACTGGGTAAAGCAGCGGTCTCCACGGTGAGGTGAGCAGTGATATCTCCGGCACCTGTTTTATAACGTGCATACCCTATAAGCACAGTATTACATGAGTATCATTTTAAAATGCACAAACACCTGTATTTTGGAAAAGATTGTGCATGTGCCCAGGGGTAGGATCCCAAAATATTTGGAGATCTATCTTTGTCTAATGAAATGTTTTTTTTAAAAATACAAGTGAGTGAGCATTAAAAAGAAAGAGAGAGAGAGTGCGCTCTTGACGCACCACATGTTTGTTTTCCCTGTGATTATCATGAGAATGATACTCAAAGGAAATTCATGTCTCCATTCAAGGATGATTTTGACCTCCCACCATGGTCCAGGCACAGCGCTGATTTCTCTGCTGTTGAGAGACTTAAAACTCAACGCCCTGGGCGCCTGGGTGGCTCAGTTGGTTGGGCGACTGCCTTCGGCTCAGGTCATGATCCTGGAGTCCCGGGATCGAGTCCCACGTCGGGCTCCCTGCTCGGCGGGGAGTCTGCTTCTCCCTCTGACCCTCTTCCCTCTCGTGCTTTCTATCTCTCATTCTCTCTCTCTCTCTGAGAGAAGATAAATAAATAAATAAAAATGTTAAAAAAAAAATTAAAAATAAATAAATAAATAAATAAAATAAAATTAAAAAAAAAACAAAACTCAACGCCCTTTCTTGCTGGAGTTCAGAGGCGACACTTGGAAACGCCTGTCGGTATTTTGCCTCCCTCTCTTCTTGGACAGAGCACACGGATAGTGGGCAGCTCTCAGAAGTTCCGCCTCCCGTGGCAGGTGGCCCTGCCAGTGCTCCCTCCATCTTTTTCACCCCACCCTTCAGAGTCATAAACTGAACCTTCGGGTCTGATGCCCTCGCTTCGTCCCCGTTCGCCCCGCAGGCTCCATGACGGCGGTGACCGTGAAGGCCGTGGCTGGGATGCTTGTCTTGTCCACACAGGGGAGCCTGCAGCTCGACTACCCCATCTTCTATGTGATGTTCGTGTGCATGGTGGCCACCGCTGTCTACCAGGCCGCGTGAGTTGCCACTTTTCCTGCTGGGCCACTCCACGTTTGGGGGTCTCTTCCATTTCTTGGGCCTGATTTCATTTGTCTTTGAAGCTGTAGGGAAGGCAGAACATTCAAGCACAGCCTGTCACCAAGGCTCAGCATCCACTATGGAGAGAGGGGTCGCTGATTTGCTGGGTTGTCCTGTGGAGGGATTCCGTGCCACTTGAAAGATGAAGCCTGGAGTGGGTGTGTTTTTCTCTCTGCCTCAAACTGGGAGAAGAGGCAGCCTCACTTTCCCTCTGCGCCAAGGCAGACGTCTGTTTGAGGGACTGTAGAAGAACCTGTGTGGTCCCCATGAGGCACCGCTTTGTTTGCTAGGTGGAACACAGCAAGTTGTCCTTTCTTGTCTGTCTCCAAGAATCTTCCCCAGAAAGTGACAGGCTCATTTCTCTCGGTGGTCCTGAGGGTAGGCCTGGGCCTTGTTCCCATCTGAGACCCGGTCATCCGCAGAGGGCCTGGGAGGGCCTGGGAGGGCCTGGGATGGCCCTGCTGGGGACAGGAGGGTGAACAGTGCAGAGCTCAGTGTGGCACTTGAGGCTGATCGATCCTGGGCAGGGCAGGCCCCAGGCCCCCAGCAGCCAGGGCTCACTGTCCCCTAGCGGTAGCCTCGAGCAGTTGTTGGAGTGGCCGCTGCTGTGGGGGCATCAGGGAAAGCCACTCACACACCCCACTTTCACAGGAACTTAAATTCATTTGACGCCCCCCCCCACAGAACCCCTTTGAAGCAGATGATACCAGCCTCATTTTGCATTTGAGAAACCGAAGGGGCAGGGCTGAGATATGAACCCAGGCATCAGGCTCCCCATCCCAGGCCCCTCACCCATCGCCGCTCCGCTCCAGGCCTCTGCCTCAGCTTCTCTAGGATCAGGTTCCTTGTCCGCAACTGAGAATAACTGCAGCCCTTCCCTGAGAGAAGCATGAAGCCCTCTGTGCCATCCCCAGGATAACCTCCCGAAAATCTCAGCCTCTTTCATGATTAGGCCGACTATGATTATTACTGTCCTGAGTCCTACTACAGAGATTCTGGTCATCACCCTCGAGCCGTCCCAGCACCAGGCTCTGTGCTGAGCACTCCAGGGTTACAGAGAAGAGTCCAGTGCCCCGGCCGCCTCCTGGGGAGCTTCTCACTCACCCAGTCAGCACACAGCCACACAGCCACCGAGGGCCTCCTGTGTGCCAGGCCCCTGGGCCTTCCGCCACGGGGCAGGACCAATAGTCACTGTCCTCGGGGCACTGCCAGCCCTGTGAACGGATGAGTACAGCCGAGTGGGAAGTCTGTCACGATACAAGCAACTACATAGTGATACCTAAAATGCTCCACAGAGAATGGACAAAGAATATATTCCGAAATGAGGGAGTGTAGATCGTAGATGCAGAGAGGAGGGATGATTCTAATTTTCTCTCTCTCTTTTGCTTGCATTTGTTGCAGTGAGCACATTATTTTTTCATTAAGAAAAAAATTTGTTTAAAAAAAAAAAATGACAGCGACAGGCGGAACACTGTGAGTGCCGTAGGAGTTTCTTGGACTGTTCGCGAGAACAGGACGGCCCTTTCTAGGGGGGGTGGGGATGCCGGGGACAGCGACGTGAGGAGGAGGGTGTCTCGGGTGGGCGAGAACCATGTGGCCCGAGGTGTGAGACCGGGAAGGCATGGTCCCCGTGGGGAACAGCGGTGGACCCCAGGCTCTGTGGACAAATGGGAGTGAAGCATGGACCCTAGACCCAGAGACGCAGCGGGATGGCATCTTTCTTCATGTGCTGTCTTCGTATTTCAAGCTAAGCCTACCGTCACCGGCTCGCACCTCAGCCTTTCTGACGGGCCCACTGACCAGAGTGCTCTTGTATTGAAGGTTTTTAAGTCAAGCCGCACAGATGTACGACTCCTCTTTGATCGCCAGCGTGGGCTACATTCTGTCCACTACCATTGCCATCACAGCAGGTAAGGGTGGCAACTGCTAGATTTCTGTCTCCTACCTTAGCAGCAGTGACGTTACCCCAGTGTGGAAGGATGAGGCTCTGCCTCTGTCAAAAGGCCGACTCTGCTGACGTTCTGTCAGTTGTATATGGTTTCATGGAGAAAGTGCGGGATTTTGAGCCAGAGAGACCTGGGCCCCAGCACAGACACAGAGCTGTGTGGCTCTAAGAAAATCACTTACCTCTCTGAGCCTCGGTTCCACGTTCATAAAATGGGAATAACACTCACCTCCCAGAATTGAAATATGTACAACATGTACTCCCGTACAGCTTGTACGAGGTTTCTTTAACAATTTTTGCCATCGTCTGCTAGCTCCACTAAGCGGCCACAGATTTCTTTCTATAATTTCTAGAGGTTATGACTATATGAACATCTGTGACATACGAGGTGGCGGGTAACCTGTCATCATTTTTATATTCCCCTTTCTTCTACTCCACCCCTACTTTTTTTCTTTCTCTAGGTGGCTTCAGAGGCTACAATCATATCAGATTGTGTTTGTTTTTAAGGGGCAGAGAAGACGAAAATCTTCAAAGTGGAAAGACCAATAAGAGCCAGTGCGCCTCCCGTGGAGGAAAGCCTGGCTGTAAGGCCGTATGTTTTGCACTTCAGACGAGCGCTGCTTGAATCCTGCCCATAGAGGCAGGAGCACGGGAGGCACATAGCCTGCCAGGGCCTGCGTGATGAGCAGACCCAGGGATCCAGTGGGGTGTCCACCCAGAGCAGCCAAAAAAGTGAACCCAGCGTGAAGATTTAAGTCCTGGTCAAGAACTTGGGTCCAGGCAAGGTTGAAAGGAATAGCCAACAGCACAATGGAGTCAGAAGCTGGGTGGGGATCAGGAGCTCAGGAATACAGCAAGAAGCCCATGGAGGTGAAAGAGTCCAGATAGAGGCTGCTGCAGGGCGGGTGAGGGTGGCAAGCCCATGTCACTCCCGCCTCATAGGAGCAGGCTGCAGGCCTGCCGTCTGCGGGCCACGCGAGGTTAGAAGGCTCTGACAGCTTGACTCGAAGCCTTGCTTTTCCATCTTAAGAAAGACTGGAGAGCGTCACTTGGGTGGCTCCGTTGCTTAAGCGTAGGACTCTTGATTTCGGCTCAGGTCCTGATCTCAGGGTCGTGGAATCAAGCCCCGAATCAGGCTCTGCGCTCAGCACGGAGTCTACTTGGGATTCTCTCTCTCTCTCTCTCTCTCTCTCTCTCCCCGTTTGCCCTTCTCGCATCCTGCTCACTAGCTTTCTGTCCCTAAAAAAATAAATAAATCTTAAAAAAAAAAAAATACTGGCGAAGGGGGTTGTGTAAAAACTGGCAAATAAGGTCTGCAGTTTAGTTCTTAGTATGTTTCATTGCGGGGAGGCTGGGTGCAGGGTCCATGTGAACTCTGTACTATTTTTGTGAATCTAATATTATCTCAAAATAAAAAGAAAAAAAAAGATGGAGATAAAAGGGGTATAGGAGGAGAAAGAAGATAATCTGTCCCCCCAAATGACTTTTATTCCACTCTCCTAACATGTACCCTTGCTGGTCATCAGGCTCCTGACCACTTTGGTTTCCTGCAGGGAAGAGAGCTCAGCCAAATCATAGACAGACTGGCAAGAAGGTGATTTGAAAGCAGCTCACCCGTATTTGCTATTTTCTGCCTCTCCAGGTGCAGTGTTTTACCTGGACTTCATTGGGGAGGACGCGCTGCACATCTGCATGTTTGCACTGGGGTGAGTCCCTGCTTTCTGGCCCCGTTACTGCTCCTGCCTCTCAGGCAGTCTTCTAGAGCCCAGGGAGCAGCCAGAATTCAGAGCTTTGTCCCCCAGAGATGAATGAGCATTTTACCCCACAAAGGGCTTTATCTCCTTCCCCCTTCTTCTCTTTTGGGCTTTAATCTCCTTGTCATTTCTAAAATACCCCACTTTGACACATGAAAAGACTCTCAGCCTCACCCCAGATCACAGAAATGCATTTTGAAGCCACATGAGATTGCCCTCATTTTGCAAAAACTCACAGGATTGGTAGTGTCCGTGCTGGCAAGAGGATGAGGAGACCAGCTCTCGCCACACTGAAAGGACCTGTGATGCCAGAGGGTAGTTTGGCAATGTCAGTAAAAATTATACATGAGCAGTGTTTGATGCCGCCTTCCAAATGGGACACAAAGACACATGTGTGAGGCTATTTATTAATTTAAAAATTAATTGTAGGGATGCCTGGGTGGCTCTGTCGGTTAAGCGTCTGCCTTTTCGGCTAAGGTCATAATCCCAGGATCCTGGGATCGAGTCCCGCATTGGGCTCAAGTAAATAATCGGAAGTAGCCTAAATGCCCAGCAGTAGAATATAGGTTAAATAAATTACGGTATATCCATATAATAAAGTACCGTGCTGCCATTTTGAAAAATTGAGGCCATTCTATAGATGTTGACATAGAGCCATGTCTAGGATACATTAAATGGAAAAAGTTACATTTTTAAAATGTATAGTCTACCCTCTGATCTAGCAGTTCCACATCTAGATATATTCCCAAAAGAAATGAGTACATATATTGACAAAATGACTGGTACCTGAATATTTATAGTAGCTTTATTCATCATGTGCTCAAATTGGTTACAGCCCAAATGTCTATCAACAGGAGAGTGAAAAACAAATGATGTAGTATATTCAGACAATGGATTCAATATAATAATTAAAAATAATGAACTACTAATACATACAATAAAGTGAATGAACCTTAAAAATATTTACAAGTGAAAGAAACCAAACAGAGTACACACTGTATGATTTAACTTATAAGAAGTTCAAGAACAGGATGGGGCGCCTGGGTGGCTCAGTTGGTTAAGCGTCCGACTCTTGGTTTTGGCTGAGGTTGTGATCTCAGGGTCCTGGGATCGAGCCCCACGTTGGGCTCTGTGCTCCGCGTGGAGTCTGCTTAAGATTCTCTCCCTCTGCCTCTGCCCCTCCTCTCTCTCTCTCTCAGATAAATAGATGGATCTTTAAAAAATAAAATAAAATAAAAAAGAAGTTCAAGAACAGGCAGATCAAGTATTGGATAATAGTGGTCAGTGGCTTCCTCTGGGTTAGCATGGATTGGGAGGGGCACAAGGAAACTTTCTGGGGTGGGGGGATGGAAATGTCTTCCTTGCTGACCTGTGTGGTGATCACATGATTGTACACACAGGTAAAATTCTTCAGGCACTACATTTCGCGTTTGTGCATTTTACTGCATGTGAATTATACCTCGCCTTTTAGAAAGTGTGCTTATTTAAGCTCTAGGGAAAAGAAAAAAAAAAAAGGCTGTAGAAGAATATGCCCCTCCCTGGAGGAGTGGGACTAGAGGGAGTTTAGAAACGTTCTCACTTTTTCTTTCTCTCCTCCTGTATTGATTGAATTTAGGCCATAAAGAACTTTTATTAAAATATATATATATATATATATTTTTTTTAGATTTTATTTATTTATTTGAGAGACAGAGAGAATGAGAGAGAAAGCACATGAGATGGGGGGAGGGTCAGAGGGAGAAGCAGACTCCCTGCCGAGCAGGGAGCCCGATGCGGGACTCGATCCAGGGACTCCAGGACCATGACCTGAGCCGAAGGCAGTCGCTTAATCAACTGAGCCACCCAGGCGCCCAAAATATACATATTTTTTAAGGTGAAGTTCTAAGATTCAGGCTAAATGGAAGTAAAGAGCCGTGGGAGTTTTGCCCAGGAAAGTCTAATTTATTCTGATGAACGCGGTGCAGCAGGAAAGGCGTGTGCGGCTGTTCCTTCTCTCCTTTCTGCTCCCTGCCCATCTCAGGCCCGGCGCTGCTCAGCAACAAGCCCCCCTCTGCAGCCTGCGGCCCTCTTTTTCTCTTTTTCCCATTACCCAGGTTGGGAAGTGAGCCCTCCTGCCCTCACTCTGGCCTTTTTTCTCTCCCTCCCTTATCCCTGTTCCCCAGGTGCCTCATTGCATTCTTGGGTGTCTTCTTAATCACACGTAACCGGAAGAAGGCCACTCCATTTGAGCCCTATATTTCCATGGATGCCATGCCAGGTAATGTTCAAACCCCATGTGTCCCTCTGGCCAGCCCATCCGTATAGAATGACTGCTACTTCCTGTTCAAAAAGAGATACCTACTGCTGGGTTTGGTACAGGGAAGGTGTGCTGTGCCGTTATGGTGTGACCGTCTCTCTCCCTCCCTCCCTCTCTTTTTGTTTAAATTTCGCTGGGCCAAATAGGAGGCAGTGGTTGAGGCACCTCCGTTGGTTTTGAGCCCATCTTGCCAGGCCCCGTGTCTATTTTGGGATCTCTTAAAGACAGTCCTGATTCACACTGGATATCATTGTGATCTGTACATCAGGCTTCATGCCTGCAAAAGGAAAAAAACCCATTCACCGAGTTGGAGCGGAATGACCAGAGAGGGGAAGGCAAACAGGATGGATGAAATCCGGAGGCTACCGCCTCACTTCTCAGGTGCCCCAGGAGGGTGGATTGTTCTGGAAAGCCTGATTTCCCCAGGCGCTGGGGGCCACACTGAGAAGCACGGGCTCGAACGCCTTTAGTCCGTGATGGTAACGAAGGTGTGAATCCGCAGAGTATTGCACAGAAGGGAGTGGGGGGAGTTTGTGGAGAATCAGAGAGTGCCTGCCCAGCCTGAAGGGACCCAGATTAGGAAAGTTAATCCAGGTTTGCTGACCTAAATTCTATAGGTTGCCAGTGACCACTAGCTTCCACTCTTTAAGGCAAAATTAATTTTTATTTTAGATATAAAGATGGAACTCTCTCTAGAACATAATCCCCACCCTTCATTAAGACGCCCTGATGAGCAAACTATAACCCCACTGATGGCATAACAGTACTGTTTACTAAAGCCCTCTGGGACACAGGTGTGTTCTCAGAGCCGACTGAGGTGCCCCTACTTTAAATGGCCCCACGGTTTCTGTGTCCACTTTTATATTATTTCCTCATCCCTTGCTATCAAGCTGTCGTCTGTCATTCATGCTCTTACCAGCCCGCCTGTGTATAGCAATTCCTGGTCAAACGTCTCATTTGACCCAACTTGTTTGAACTGTGTTTAAAATTAGAATAAACAAGCTCTGAGTCGGGGCCTTAAGCTTACTCCTAGGAGTTAAGTGCATGAGCCTTAGTGCATGGACTTTTGAAAACATCTAATCTGGCTGCTCAGATGCCTTTTTTGCTTACTTCCTTGTTTCTCGGCTGTGTCCCGGATAGATGAGGGCGCTGGATAGCTGAATTCCAGATAGGTGAGGTGTCAACTCTGTGTGTGTGCAAGTACGTATATGTGTCTGCGTGTTTGTGTGTTTACAAACTGTTTATGGGTATGTATCTATGTAAGTATTTGTATATGCGTATATACAAATATACACATGTGTGCGTGCTAGCGCAAAATAGAAGGTAACCTAAGGTAACCTTAGATACCTACATTCTGTGGTCTGTTCGTGGATGTGGCTCTCGGCTTCCTCTTTGTACCTTGTGACCGGTGGGAAGTCAGATCTTGACAAAAGGAGACCCTGCCCTATTGCTGTGGCATGTCAGGACACTTGGGAGTAGACGTGTTCTATACAATGAAAAGCGTGGGCTTGGAGTTCAGGTGGCCTGGATTCAAATCCCAGCTCTACCACCCACCTGCAGTGTGACCTTGGGCATGTCCTTGGACCTCCCAAGGCCTCTGACCCTTACTTGTAAATTGGGATTCCTTCTTTTGGGATAGTGGGATAATATGTTAAAGGCCCCTTGCACAGTGTTTGGGACTTGGTAGATGCCTGGTTAAATTTGGTTTCACGTCCCTTTTGCTTTAAAAAAAAAAAATCTTCGAAAATTTCAAACACTTGTTTGACCTGATGCAGCGTAGAATATGAAAAATAAAACTGCTTAAAAAGAAGGGGGCGCCTGGCTGGCTCAGTCGGAAGAGCATAGGACTCTTGATCTCGGGGTCATGCGTTCGAGCCCCACATTAGGTGTAGAGATTACTGAAATAGATTTTTTTTAAACTTTAGAAGTCAATTAATTAACTAATTAAAATTAAAAAAATAAAGCTGCTTCAATAGAGTGTCTTTCCTAGCTACTTGGTTTCCCTGGTCAGCACTAGAACCTTGCTGTTGGTCCATCTAGATTGATAGCTTCACAACAAGACCAGTAGCTACAGTTCACGAGGCATTCTTGACTCTTGAACATTTCCAAAAAAATGCACTGCATGTCACAATCTAGAGAGGTTTAAATAATTCTAGCACCTGAAAGACTTCTAAAAAATGAAAAACGAAAAAGCCCTGAGAGCTGGGAGCTGGCCTGGCACTCACATCTGGACCTCGGTGCTCCCTGGCTGAAAAGAAAGAGCTCCCTGGCACATCAGCCTCAAACGGGGGCACTCCGACCATGATAGATCAAGACACAAACAGGACCACTCCGTTGTCATGTATGAATGTAGACCACCCCCCAACACTGTTTACCAGTTAACAGCTTGAGCCTCAACATAGCCTTCACTCTCATCTAGATAAGAGTTATTAAGATGCCCAGTTACAAAATTAGTCCCACTTCCTGACAGCATCTAATCCAAAGCCAAGCCCTGCTTCCTTAAACCCTCCCCCAAATCGCCTAACAGAAATCCAAATCCTGAACTTTTCTAACACCCTCCTAACTGACACATCCCACAGTCCCCCATGGTAGACATCTCTCTCACTGCAGTGAATCAATAAAGCCACGTCTGTTAGACTCAGTGTAGTCCTGGTGCTCTTTGGCTGAGGAACTGTGAAAAAAATCCAAAAGCTAAACCGTGCCTAGTAAGCCAACCCTTTTTCCTAAGGAGCATGCATCCCTCAGCTTCTCCCAAGCGCCACCCCCCCCCCGCCTCCAAAATCCAAACCACAGATTCTTAAACTGTACCTTTCAAATGCCCATGAGCTAAGGCTTGCTATGTGAAAGCATAGAGTCTCCCCAGGCCTCTCACGGAGTGGACAAGGCCATGGGCTGTGGTGTCAGATCCCAGCTGTGTGACTTCCAGCAAGTACCTTCGCCTTTTAGAATCTGTTTTCTTGTCCAGATGATGAGGATAGGATTTGGGGGGACGTTCAGTGGAAGTGCCCAGGGAGGCCGTACAGCATTCCAGTTACGTGTGGGCTTCCATGTTCAAACCACCTGAGTTTAAATCCTAGCACAGCCACTTGCCCCCTTTGCAACCTCAAGCAAGGTACCTAACCTCTAAGTGCCTTATTTTCCTTATGAGTAGTTGGGAGGATCAGATGATATAGAACTTTTCAACTGGTTAGAACCGGTCTGTGCTTGCTGTTGTTACTGTCATGATCTAAACCCTCAGCCCAGAGCCTGGGCAGAGTAAATAGTCCAGCACCTGCTGTTGTCTTCATAGTTTCACGGAGGACACTTGGCATTCAGTTTCGTAGGACAGCTTGGGGGTAAGAGAATTTGAAGTCTCCATTCCCTGCCAGGAAGAGAGTTGGCCTCTGAGACCAGGTCCCACCTGACGGAGGAACTGTAGAATAGGGCTCACGGAATTAATGATAAAAGTCTTTGTTCTCAACTCTAAGTAGAAACCCGACAAGCAACATGTGCCCAGAAGCAACAGGCAGAATCACACCTCCCCTCTCTGCGGATCCACGATGTTCAGTGTTAAAGGTCAAAACTCTCCCTCTGAGTGTCACGATGCATGTGCCACCACCACGTGTCCGTGACACGAAGGTCACCCTCTTCTCTCAAGGGGATAATGATCCTGATTTAATTCAGCAGGAAAGTATTGGCATCTACCACGTTCAAAGCACAGTGCTGGTTCTGCTCCCCCTGGGGCCCAAACACACGTTCCCACCTCATTCTTCGCCAACCCATGCTTCTCTTGACAGTGGCTGGTCTGTGTGCATATTTCCTGAAGATTCATCCCTTGTTGCTTGGCAACCATAATATCGCTAGCATATATTTATGGGTGTTCTTTTTTCAATCGAAAGCATTCAGGAGATTGGCAGGGCACGTGATTAGCGCCGGAGCGCTGTAATTAGGCTGCAGTGGGGTAGAGGAAGATGCAGTCTCCTTTGGCCCCCATGTCCCATAATGATTTGGAGAAAATGGATTTCATTTCAGGTATGCAAAACATGCATGACAAAGGAATGACAGTTCAGCCTGACCTCAAAGCTTCTTTTTCCTATGGGGCCCTGGAAAACAACGACAACGTTTCTGAGATCTACACTCCTGCCACACTGCCAGTCATGCAAGAGGAACACAGCTCTGGGGGTGCCTCTGGGGTTCCCTACCGAGTCCTGGAACACACCAAGAAGGAATGAGCCCACCTTGAAGGAGACTCTCCTTCCCTCCATTTATAACTGCTCTCAAGCGAGGCCGACAGTGGTTCAACCCTGAATTCTAAAGTTTGCCTTTCAAGTCTTATTTTTTTTTTTAAACAGAGAACTCTCTAGAAGGGGATCTCGAAGAGCCTTAGTCTCTAGCACAGAATCCATTATCTTGGTCTCGGAGATTTCAGATGACCGGGGTGGGGGGAATGAAAGCAGTATTCTCTGGGCAGGGTGGGGGGAGGCCGCGGGGTTCAGACTCTGCCTGGTTCTGCCCTGCCAGCTTGGGAAAGCCGTCGTCATTCCTGACGATGGTAACTGAGCTTCCTCCGGCAGTGACCAAAGGTTGCCACATTCCTCGGAGCTGAAGCAAGGCAGAGATTCTGCTCTCACTTTCCACATCCAGTGAAAGGCTAGAGACCTCTGAATCTACTCTTCCCTTGCCTGATCCTCCCCATCTCACTCATAATTCCAGATTTCCAGTAACATCTGAGTTGTCATCACAAGGCATAGTAGGCCAGCCCCGGGAACACCCTATCATTCACCTGTAGGAAATGCACTTCTGCCTTCCAGTTGTCTGGGTCCTTCCAGTGAAAACATGTTTGGTGTGTTTATATGAGATCTGCTCTGAAAACTAATTTGGTTTTGGTTCTGTGAACTATGTAATTGCTTTTCTCCCCACCCCACCCCTGCCGAAGGAACTGAGAAGTTAAGAGAAAGAGGGAAATAAGGACGGGAGCAGGGGTAATGATACGTTAGCCCATAAAGGAAGAAAAATCCCTTTTCATCTTACAAAAGGTGATTGCACCACTTATAAAAGGATAGGCGGAAAATCGGACTGTTTCATGTGTGTGTTCCTGCACACCAGTGCCCTCTGGGAAGCTTGGGGGTGCTTACTGCAGAGACAGCCTCCATCATTTTCCTTCCGTCAAACCAAACTTGAATTATTGGCTCATTTCCTTGGAGTTGACCGCGACTCTTCGGGTCATCGTTCCCATGTGCATATGTCTGGGAAAGTGGGCATTCTTGGTAAGAGGTTGCTGCTTTCTTTCAGGCTACATACTTGACTGTCCTCCCCCAAAACTGACTATAGATTTTTGAGAATGGCAAGTAAGGGTTTGCAAACTTGAGCATAAGGATCCCCTAGGGAGCGTGTTTAAAATGCAGATTCCTACACCCCAAGCACAGACCCTCTGTGGGAATGACAAGGGAGGAGCAAGAGTCTGCATTCTTGACTGGCAGCAAGGTCATTCTGATGCAGGCAATCCAAGGATCACACACCTCGAAAGCCTAATCACTGGGCTGTGAAAACCTCCAGGGGCCGACACACCCCTGCTGCAAAGTTGCAATTACCCTAACTTGTTTCCTGTCTAGGGTTCATGTAGCAGGTCAAATAATTCCCATAGGATCCGTGGCATTTATCCATCCTGTGATTCCTACTTAGAACTAAGCTTAATGTTTCCCTAGGCACTCTTTAACTAATAGGCGAGATAACAGTGTTAATAGACCAGTGTTGATAGATCATTAACCTTTATGGATTGTGCTTAATACCGATTTACTACCTTGACTTCAAAAAACTGGCATCTGTTCTTGTGATAACCACTTCGGTATTGTGTCTTAGTGCCCAAGAAGGCAGCAGACAATGACCTTTTTTCTTCAGGATGCATTCAACAATATTTGTGACACATTTGCTGTGTGTTAGTAAGCATTTGGATGGGGGTACCTGGGTGGCTCAGTTGGTTAAGAGTCTGTCTTCGGCGCAGTCCCATGTCAGGCTCCCTGCTCAGGGGGGTGTCTGCCTCTCCCTCTCCTTCTGCTGCTCCCCCCCCCCAAATTGTGTGCATGCTCTCTCTCTCAGATGATGGGTAAAATCTTTTTAAAAAATAAATATAAATAAGCATTTGGCTGGTGAAGGCTACAAAGAACAGCAGTGGTCTCCGCCCTGCAGACCCGCAGAGGAAGACACGTACCCGGGAAACCACAGCAGGGCGGGCCATGAGAGGTGCACACAGCAACCATGGGCCACGGAAAAAGGATGGTTAGGGGAGCCCTGCTAAAGGTCAGGCCCTAGCCCAGAACAGGGTATTCAGAATTGAGGATGATTTGGGGGCACCTGGCTGGCTCAGTCGGTAGGGCATGTGACTCTTAATCTCAGGGTCATGAGTTCGAGCCCCATGTGTGGTGTAGATTTTACTTAAACAAAAATGTTTTTTAATTAAAAAATAAAAAGAATTGGAGATGATTTGGGCTTCACCCATCAATGGGGGCAAATCTGATTTGAGCAAAGCATAGAAAGTAGGGTGACCACACACACCCCCAGTCAGAGGGGCTAGCACTTGCAAAGGCATGGAGATAGGGAGTAGGTGTTGGCAAGGAAAGGAGGGGGAGAGAGGGTCATGAGAAATGAGCCTGGAAAGATAAGCAGCAAACACCAAACCACCAAATCACAGAGGCCTTGAATGCCCGCTGGAGGAGCTCAAGGTGTGTCTTAGAGAGCGTGGGAGCCACTGATGATTCATAAGGAAGAGAATGGCAGGATCAACACTGATTGGAAAGGGGGCTTTATGCAGAGTATAGAGAATCTGAAGGGATAATAAGTCACTTTTCAAGGTCAAGCTGTAAGCCCACCAGAACAAAACACAAAGGGGGAATTAAAATCTGGTTTTGCTGCTATTCAGATTTTCCAAGTCATTTTTCTAACGTGGGCGGGGATGAGGTATGAGGGCAGAGTGGATAAATGGAAGATGAGCAAGGAAGCCATTTCAATGTGTCAGACCCAGGTGATCATTTTGGGGTTTTACGGGCTCCCAACCTCACTCTGCACCTTCCCTTTTTGGGTTATGCACCTCTTAGTCTCAAGCCAGGCAAGGATGAGACGAGTGGATAAAAGTGCATTATAGTTTCAGGTCAGCTGTCATGGTTTCAGTGCCACCAGCCACTGCCTCTGGGCCCTGGGCCTCCTCTGCCTTCAGGTTGGGGGCGATGGCATTGTCCCATGAAGCCGAGCCACAGGAAGTCTGAGCAGAGAGCACTGGACACTTTCCTGAGTGGAAGCCAGGGGTAGGCCCCTGGGTACTCTGGAAGAACAGCTGATGTGGAGCCTTGGGCTCCAGAGTTCTGAATCTGTCTTGGGCTATCTTCTCCCACCCTTTGTCCCCAAGTGTAAATGGACTGTTTGCTGGTGGCACTTGCTGTTAGGACTGGGGGGGGGGGGGGGGGCGTGGGGAGGGGCATCAACTTTCTACTATTTTTTTCTCTTGGCTCTGACATTCCCCAAGCCCTCTTGAATGCTCCAAGGCACATTAAGTAGCATGCCTCTCTCTCCTTCCTAGCAGCCAGTACCTAAAGCAAGGTCACCAAACTTGGGTTTAAACTTCCTGTTGTTCCCTCGTCTTCCTCTCCCCACTCCAGTCTGTCCCCCTCTTCTAAAGACTGGGACTCTGGGTTCTCTAATCAGACATTAGAACCAGTGAACCAGTTCAAAGACTGGTGCCTGTGGGCTTTGATGAGAGATCAGCCCCTCCCCCAAACCCCTCCCCTTGAAGCTGCAGGTCTGATGAGGCCATTGCGTTAAGCTTCGGGTCACATGGGGTTTTTGCGGTGTGGAATTGATTGCTGGGTAGGGAAGGGAGGACCTCTGGTTCCACTGATTTTCTGGTGGAAACCAGCCAGCTTGATGGTACTGTGTGTATACAAGACATCCATCAGGGTAGTGTTAGAGACCCTCCACCCCACACTCTCGTGAATTCCAAATCTGGTCCAACAGTGGTTGATAGGCAAAAAAATGGACTGCGTGTTTCTCTGAGAAGCTGTGTAAATGAAGTCACCTTAGAATATATTCTATGTGGATGCTTATATTTTGTTAACTCCATGACTGATATAGCATGTCTTATTTTTCAAAAAATGTGTGTGTTAGGTGCAAATAACATTATGAAGTGGTATTTAATTAAAACAAATCCATGTTATACCTGTTTAGTTCGAGTCTCATGTTTGGCTAATGCTTTCTAAAGTTGTCTGGAATAGTGCTGTCCAATAGAACTTTGAGCAGTGCTGGACCAAGAGACTAGTGAAATGAGAGAAGATTCTCAACGCGGGGGAAAAACATTGCCGGCAGCCTTCTCCCATTGATGCTGAAATGTGAATCCTCAACAGCGCACCCTAGAAACATTTGTGCACTTAATTCTCAAGATTACTTTATAAGTTAAAAAAAACAAAAACAAGAAAGCTGCAAAGCCCATCTTTAACTCTCCAAAAGCCAGTTTCTCATGAAAACAGGACCAGAAATCTATCCTAGCAGCTGTCCCTCACACTCTGTGTGATCTGTGTAAGCATTCCAGAATGATTCCGGCGACTAGATAGCTGTCTTATCCTTTTACCAAAATGTCACCTTCTATCGAAATGTTCAAGTCACTGATACTTCCCTTCACATGAATGACACTAAGTGTCTTTGCATGTGTTTACACACATTTGTGTTTCCTTTTCTGTGAACTGTCCACAGTCTTGGCCCACATTCTACAGCTCTGTGAGTCTCTGATTGACTCAAACGTGCAATTTGTATTTTGCATTGATTAACCCCTTCTTTGTGATGTGAACTGCAAATATGCCCCAAAGTTTGTTATTTGCTTTTTGATTTGCTTATAGTATTTTTTTTTTGCGATGAGAAAATCTTTTTGTTTGTTTTATGTATTTTATTTTACATATAATCCAATTATTTCTATAAAATATGTTCTTTTAGGGGCACCTGAGTGGTGCAGTCAGTTAAGTATCTGACTCGGTTTCAGCTCAGGTTGTGATCTCAGTTTTGTGGGCTCGAGCCCCACATAGGGCTCTGTGCTCAGCGGGGAGTCTGCTTGGGATTATGTCTCTCCTTCTGTCCCATACCTCCCACTCCTCTCTCTCTCTAAAAACTTTTTTTTTTAAATATTTTTTTAAAGATTTTATTTATTTGTTTGAGAGAGAGAATGAGAGAGAGAGAGAGAGAGAGCATGAGAGGGGGGAGGGTCAGAGGGAGAAGCAGACTCCCTGCTGAGCAGGGAGCCCGATGCGGGACTCGATCCTGGGACTCCAGGATCATGACCTGAGCCGAAGGCAGTTGCTTAACCAACTGAGCCACCCAGGCGCCCTCTCTCTCTAAAAACTTTAAAAAAATTTTTTTTAATGTTCCTTTATATATAAGTATTTTATAAACATAATTGAATTGAGATGCCATTTCTATAATATTTTAAATTTCTGTAATATTCTGGACTCTCCACTCTGTTCCACTGAACTGTCAGCCTATCCATTCACCACTAATACGCTGTTTAAATTACTGAGGGTTTTACCTGAGGCTGTGCTTCAATATCTAGGAGGGCAAGTCTCCGCTTGTTGCTTATTCATACTTCTTATTTTGTCAAATAAGGACATTGAAAAGAAAAAATACCCTACTGTACTATTATTTCATTAAAACAGGACATTGACACCAAAATGGCTAAGAAGGGCAAAATCTCACAATAAAGGATAATCCTTTAAGTTGGATAATTTAGCTTTATGAAAAATGTAGGAGAGTGTCATTATTTGCCTCGTTTTGCTGCAGGCCCATAAGATGACACCGGCATCGGGGAACCAGACTTGGTGTGATTGTGACTCAAATGTGGGATTACACGTCGGGAAAGGGGGGTGCACAGAGGGGCTCGCTGGCCAGTTAGCTGCAGGTGCGGGACTAGAACCCAGGTCTTCGGATCTCCAGCCTCTTCCTCTTCCACTGCACCACTAAGCCTACGCTCTACATCCATTTACTGAGCTTGTCCTCTAACCACATCGTCTCATTCCCTTCCCACAACAGCTCTGAAAGGAAGCTGCTCAGTCCTTGTTTGACAAACACCGAAACCGAGGCTCAAAGAAGTTCAGCAGTTTGCTCCGGGCCACTTGGTGTGTATGTGGCAGAGCCTGGATTCAAACCCAGATATAACTGACTCCAGAGTTTCTCTGGATATTTTAAACCCAGTCCTTGATATATCAATAGACAATAATTCTTTTACGTCTCAATCTTTATTCATTGTTTAGCACAGAATGTAACTGTCTCTGAGTCTGGGGTAGCATAAGAGCATCAGCTTGTCCATCTTCCCGGTTGCCTGGGATACGCCATCTTTCTTTCCCTTGGTGCACTTAGTACCTAATTTCTTAGGAAGCTCTTGAATCAATCAGGGTCCCCTCAGGAGACAGAAACCACACCCATTACTGGAACAGAGAATTTAATAGAAAGAATTGGTAACTAAGTAACTGAAAGGGTATGGAGAGAATGCTAAGGCATCACAGAGGCAGCAACTAACTGTAAGAGGCAGCTCCCACCCCGGGCTGAGGGAAGATGAGGAAGACGTTGGAATTTTTAAAACTTAGATGTTCTGTTTAAAGGAGGGGCCCTGTGGAGCCGAACCTCAGAGGTGCTGAAACCAAGGCTGGCTGTGCACTCTGGGTCGGACGGGAGGTCCGATGGAATTGGGACCCAACCCACGAGGCCATAGACAGCCCCAGCTCGCTTCCTCAGAGGCACAATAAAAAAAAAAAAAAAAAAAATCACCCCTCACATCCAGGGCATAGTAGGCCTTGGTTTGGGTAAACAG